GGATGCGGGTCGTGGCAGCATCGGGCGGTTTAGAGGCCGATGCGAAGCGCTCGCCGAAGGTGTTGAGTTCGTGGGAGGCCACGCTGTATTCATCGCCTGATGAGAGGATCTCGACGTCAACGACGTCACCTGGTACTTCGGCGGCTGTGGCAGCGGCGCCTTCGGTGTGGCCCCCTCCTTCCGCCGCCGCCGTGCCAAGCCAGGGGTCGTGGCCACCTGGTCCTGGGGCGGCCGTCGGTTCAGCGGCTCCGTCCGTGCCGTGAGGGGGCGCAGAAGAGCTGCGGCCTGGGGCGCGGGGTGGCCTTGCGGGCGGCGTGGCGTCACGTTTCCCGCTGGAGGAGCGGTGGCGCTTGGCTAAAGGCTCCTCCTTGGGGGTCAGGAGCGGTGCGACGCCCTTGCCTTTGGGCGTGGCAGTCATGAGGTCGTGGAGGTAGGGGCTCTGGGCCGCTTTGGTGAGGAGTGTGCCGGTGGCGGGGCTGAAGCCGCCACCACCGGCTGGCGGCGTCGCAGGCTCTGTGATGGTGGTAGGCGTGACGATGGTAACGTTGTCCCGCTTCGGCGCCACCTCAGCCAGCGGGGCCTCGGCGATGCTCCACGGGATGGAGCACCCCGCGACCTGCACCGTATAGGTGAGTGGGGGCCGATGGGCGCGCACTAGGGCAAACTGGGCCGCAGTGGCTGGGCCCCAGGCGGCGCGGTAGACCTCACAGTCCCATTTGACGGACGGGCCCGTGAGAGTCTTGGCGAGCTGGGTCAGCGTGGCGTGGCGCGACGCAATGCCAGTGATGCGGTAGCGCGTCTTGGCGAGGGTGGCCTCGCAGCCGCGGATGCTGACAGCGGCGGCCTTGGCGACGTCAGACCCCCGCGGAACACGGATCCCCAGCAGGCCTGACTTGCCGTGCCTGACGACTCCCAGGGCCTTGAGCTCCACCGACTTCTGGAACGCGTCTGCCATCGTGATGGGCTGGTCCTCAGGGAACCACACGGTCTGATACTTGTCGGCGGTGGGCTCGTCTGCACCTACGTTGCTGAGGTCGTAGGTGGCACCGAGTTGCCCTGATCCCGCCAGGACCTTGTCGACCGCTTGGAGACTGACGCCGAAGGTGGCAGCCAGGGACCTCTTTCCGACGCCCGATCCAAACCTGCCTAGGCTTTTGCAGGGTTCGAGGATGGTGACGGCTTTAAAGTTGCCGTGGAAGAGGGCCTTGAAGGTGTCCTGGAGCTGGCCATCGAGCTCCTGGCGGCGAGCGTCTTTCTTGGACTCCTTGTGCTTTTGGCGCGCCTTGTCCTGTGGAGCGGAGTCGCCTCGAAAAGGGCCCTTGGCGCGTGGACCACCGTTCACGGGGGCACCTCCCGAGAACTGGTCCTCGAAGGCCTGGTGCATGGAGGGGACTGCGGCAATGGCCTCGGTCTCGTGTATGGTCGCCCGAATCCAGCAGACGTGGTCGGCGGGGTCGATGGTGGCGACGGCTACCTTTTCCGTGCAGGCGACCTCCTTGGTGCCCAGCTGGTACACGATCACGGGGACGTGCGTGTGGACCACTTTGGGCGCCTTGGGGTGGCGCTTCAGGACGGGGACGGCGAGCTCGGTACCGACGTAGTTGTCGTTTTTCGGGCCCATGACAGCAATCGCGAGCTGGCCCGTGGCTCGCTTGCCCTGCCCGAGGTGGTGTTGCAGCAGCCGTTCGCCACTCTCGAAGTCGTGGAGGCTGATGCTGGGCTTGCACGTCTTGCCGTCGTCAGGCGAGGTGGGTTCGGCAAGAACAGGGACCTTCCAAAAGGCAGGGTCCAAGGCAATGAATTGGGTGTCCGCAGCCTGAAGACGTGCGGAGCCCGATGGTGGGTGCGATGTGTCACCGCCAGTGCGCTTAGGCTTGCTGCGCTGGTAGTGGTCGAGCGTGTAGCTGATCTGGTTGGCGGCGCACATGCGGATAAGGGCGCTGCCAAGCTTCTTCGTGTTGGACTTGTGCATGTCGTACTTTGCCTGGAGCTCGTCCGCGTTCAGTTCGGCTAGCCCGTTATAGGCGGCCGTGGGGCGGTCAGACCCCGCTTGCCTGAACGCTGCGACGCAGTCCTGCTTGCGTTGAAGGAGGGACCCTTCAGCAGCAGGGCGCGTGGGGCGGGAGCTCGGAGGCTGCTTTGAAGAGCGACGGCGCTCCGGCTTCTTGGGGGCCATTGCTGCGGGCACTCTGGTGCGGAGAGGTGACGCGAATCAGTAGGGCCCTGCTGGGGCCCCTCCGGTCTCGCGAGGCCTGGGAGTCTGACTCCGAGGCGGGGCGCTTCGCGTCGTAGCTGCGGTCTGAGCGCAGAGCACTCTCGAGCCGAGACTAGAGAGAGAGAGAGAGAGAGAGAGAGAGAGAGAGAGAGAGAGAGAGAGAGAGAGAGAGAGAGAGAGAGAGAGAGAGAGAGAGAGAGAGGAGAGAGAGAGAGAGAGAGAGAGAGAGAGAGAGAGAGAGAGAGAGAGAGAGAGAGAGAGAGAGAGAGAGAGAGAGAGAGAGAGAGAGAGAGAGGACGGAAGAGAGGGGGAGGTAGCGGGAGAGGGAGAGGGAGAGGGCGGAAGGGAAGGAGGAAGGATGGGAGGCAGTGAGGGAGAGAGAGGAAGGGGAGGAGGGAGGGAGAGCGGGGCGTCGCTGTGAAAAAAAAAAAAAAAAAAAAAAAAAAAAAAAAATCGTGCTCAAACCCTCGCTGCGTCAGAACGCCTACGAACTTTCGGAAAAGGATCAAAAAAAAATAATAAACAAAAAAACTTCTTTTTTTTTTATTATAAAAAAAAAAAAAAAAAAAAAAAAAAAAACTGCGCCGTCATGCCGCTGCTCCTGTTCGTGCCCCCCCGCTGGCCATCACTTTTATTTGTTCTGATCCCCGCCTGCTGGTCACTGCTAGCGGCGCCGACGTCGCCCGTCCGGCCGCGGGAGTCTTTTCCGATCGCGAAGCCCAAGACGCTGTCCAAGTCCCCCCCCCACTTCGGGCCCGGGAGGTCCAGCCAGTTCACCTCGACCACCCCTGGCTCCGAGGGCAGCGACCCTAGCGCGCGTGTGACCAGGTTATGATGATGAACACTTCTGTGGACAACGGTGTTCGCATGGATGTCTCCAATCAAGTTGTTCCGCGTTGGGCGCTGGCGGAAAGGAGGGGGGGGGGCGGCAACGACGACGGAGAGCGGCGACAGACGACGCCGAAGGACGTGGGAAGGGGGCGCTCACTAGAACAACTGGGATTTAGCAAAGATACCATCCGTCCCCGAGCCTCCCCCTTTCATCTATACTGCCCCCTCCATTCCCCCCCGCATCGCTCCCCGCCCCCGCAGTCCTCGCCCGCTGCATGCACCATTGTGGTGTGCACCGCGCGCACGCTGCAGCACTGCAGCGGACTCTCGAGAATGTTGGGGGCCAGGCTGTACTTCTCGTGGAGGAACGCCAATGCCCGCACATTACTCGATGCTTTATCAGGCACCTGGCTGATAAAAACATATGGAACCTGAGAAGCCAACGCCATCACGCCCTGAAGATTCAGAGGCCCCGAAGCCCGCTCAACACCCTCCAAAATAGTTGAAGCCTTGCTGTTCTGCAGAAACACAGGAGGCACAGGCAAATCCAATATGTCCTCGCGTGCCTCCCGAGGGATACTAGTGAGCCCCCGCCTCCTCTGCCGTCTGCGTTTGCACCCTCGCATCCTCAGTCTCCTCCTGTCCCCAGTGATAGCCCTTCCCTCACAGGCCTGCTCCTCCTCCTCCTCCTCCTCCTCCTCAACCGCCACGTCCTGCCCCGCCTCCTCCTCCGCATCAGCATCCGCCACCGCCGCCATGGAGGCGGGGTGGAGGTGCGGGTGGGGGGCGGGCGGGGGCGGCCAGAGGCGGGGGGCGGAGGTGGGCGGGGGCGGGGGGTGGGCGGGGGCGGGCAGGGAGAGGGGAGGGCGAGGAGGAGGAAGAGGACGAGGAGCAGGAGGAGGCGGAGTTGGAGAAGGGGGTGCACGACGGCGAGGTGGAGGGCGCCGAGAGTGGGAAGCAGGGGCGCCACGAGGAAGAGGGGGAGGAGGGGAGGAGGGGAGGTGGCACTGAACGCCAACCCTGATTTGCAACCCACCCAAAACCCCAAAGCTCCGAGTTCACCGCGACGATGTGGTTCTTGATCGCCAGCAGCTCGACCGAACCTCGCTCTGGAAAAACAGCTCCACGCCCACTGACGAGGCATTCCTTCGCGGAGATCGTCTTGCATTTCCCAGTGTCAGTGTCCTGCGCGCGGCCGGGAAGCGGATGGGAGAGGTCAGGACGGAGGCGGGATGGACTCGAACCCCAGCGGCAACGCGCAGAGGCGGGCGGCTAGAGAGGACGCGGCGCAGCAAAGAGGAGAAATGAAAAGACTGGACGGTGGGAGATGGAGAAGGCCAGGAGGGAGAGCAGGAGAGGAGCATGGTTTACCAAGCACACTGGAGGAGAGAGCAGGCAGAGAGCCCAGGACGAGGTAGCGCGCGTGGGGCGTGACGATGGCAGACAGCTTCCCGAAGCGGACCTTCCAGGGCGCGCAGTCAAACCCGCGGTTCACCAGCACGCCTTGGATCTTCTTGTCCTGACCAGAGTCAACCGTGCCCATCCCCATTCCAGGGCACGGCCACCAGACTATGCTCCTCCTGATCCTGCCGCTCTGTCATCCTTTTTCGGTGATCGTGCCCTCTTGATCGTGCTCCTCCGCAATCGTGCGCCTCATCATGGTCCGCCTGATCACGCAGGAAGCCCCCTCACTCTGATCCTCACACTCAACTTGATGATCCTGATGATCCTTTCGATCCCTCTAATCATGGAAGAGATTCCCCTGTCCTTGCCGTGCCTCGTCTTCATCAGCCACCTCCACATCCCACCTGCCCTCCCATCCACGTCCCCGTGCTACCGACCCGCTGGCAACCATCCCCCCCCCCCCCCCCCCCCCCCAATGCCATCCTGCACCTCCCTCCTGGACATTGCCCCCCCCCCCCCCCCCCCCCCCCCATCCCAGTCCTGGAACCACGTGCGCAGCCTCGAGTCGAGAGCACGCTCGGTAACGCGGGCCACCGCGGAGGCGAGCTCCAGACTGCGCCGCGCCTTGCCCATCGCCGCCTGCGAGGGGAAGGCGTTTGAACCCTCCTCCTCCACCTCGTGCTCCTCCTCTGTCCTCCTCCTCATCCTCCTCATCCTCCTCCTCCTCCCCCTCCTCCCCATCCCCCTCGCCCTCTCTCGCATCGGCAGGCCACCTTGCCCTTGCGCGGGCGCCCTGCCCGTGCCAGGCTGCGGTAGGCTGCAGCCTGGGCCAGCGCGATGTCCCACACGTGGGACCACCGCTGCCGTCCACCTGCAGGCCGTCGGCGCTCGGCCACAACACGGCCTTTCCGAACCAGGCCCAGACGCCCGCGAGGCACAGCGCGGTCGCCCCAGCGAATATGCCTGAGGACGCGGTCACTGCAAGAGAAGATGAAAAGGAGAAAGGGGTGGAGGAGGAGGAGGAGGAGCAGGAGGAGGCGGAGCAGGAGGAGGAGCAAGACAAAGGGGTCGGGGGGGGGGAAGGGGAAGGGAAGCTGAGGAGGCAGCGGAGGAGGAGGAGGAGGAGGAGGGAACCATAGAAGCGAAGGGAAAGCAATGCGAAGGAGGAAGTGAACACAAGAAACAAGGTAAGTGGAGGATGGTGAGACAATCCCTCGCCCCCGTTCTGCTTCTGCTCCAAGTTACCCCACTAACCCCGCCTCAAGTTTCCTGGGCGCCCTCTACCGTAGCCACGCCCTCCCCCTCCATCCGGGGCGCCTGGCGTCGCGGGTCTTCTTGAAGCCGTCGCGCGCCCTGGCCAGGTGGGACGCCGCGGCGCTGCCGCCAACGAAGCTGCGGCGGCGACGAGGCGCCGCGCGAGCGTTGCCCCCGGGCACCGCCGCACGGCGCTGGGCCGCGACCCCAGGGAGGGGGCCCCAAAATGGGAGATCCCCCCCTGCGCTGGCAATGTCCAAAATGGGCATGTTAAGCCAAAGCGCTCCGCGGTCCCACCGCAGCGGCGCGGCGTGCAAAGACGGGGGATGAGAATACGAAATGTAGAAAGACAGAAGGAAAACAAGCAAGAGCAAGATAAACTTGCGAGAATACTACTCTCCGATACACATGCAACAAGAAGCAACATTGCCGACGCAAGCTCGCGAGAGGAAAAGGCAGGCAGAGAGAGGGAAGCACAACCAGCACAGTCTATCGATCGAAACAACGGCGATGGCACGATTTCGAAGCGACGTCGACGGCGTACGGAAATAATATTTGGTAATTTCAAGATAAATATTGTGTAGTTATATATATGTTTATATAATTATATATACATATATATATATATAAGAAAATATGTTATCGAATATTTTGAATTTCTGGAAACGAATTCATCGGGGGGGTCCCTGGCTTTGATTTACAACCGTTTGGCGGAGCTCCTCAAGAAATGGTGGCGGAGGCTTCGTCGGCACGACGTCCACCGTCCTATCTGACGACGGCGCCTCCTTCGGCGGGGGAGGAGGCGTAGGCACATGCGCGGTCGCGCCTGCTTTGGGAGGAGGAGGCACCGCCTCCGCCACGGCCTTGCCGGGCGGAGACTGGGGCGCTCTCTCGACCTGGGATACAGGCTGTCCCAAAGGTGGAAAGTTCTCGGTATCGAGCGAAAAAGACGCATCAGACAGCTTTGCCGCCGGCGCCTGCACCTGAACACCCGTTGACGACTTGGCTTTGGCCTCTTCTTCACTCGTCCTGTTGGCCAGGACAAGCGCCTTGGATGCTTCCGCGGCCTCGTCTTTGTCTAACGGATTGATCCTAGTGAGCCTGACTCCTTTATCCTGGAGCCATGGCCACATGTCATCAACGTCACTACGATTTCATGGTAAGGGCTTCGATCCTTCTGCCAAACAATGGGCTCTAAATTTGGGACCCACTGGCTCTGTGCCTTTCGAACTTGGTCCGCGGCAGCCTCTTTCCCCCTGTCGCGATACCGCTCGACCCCGAAGTCTTGCTCCAAGGGCCATCCCTTTTGTCTAGCAACATGTTGCAAAAAGGCATAAGCCGGTGTGACATGAAGTGCTGCAGGAGTCCAATGGTAGAGGCGAAGCTCATATAACGCCATCTGGGACGGTTCACTGACAAACTGATCGGGCGAGCCCTTGATGATTATAGGCTTCGCATAGAAAACGACCTCCGCAGTTACCCAGATGCCATCTCCAAAAGTCTCCTCCGCAACAGAATAATGAGTGCGCGTGGAAGGATTGCTGGTACAGGGAAAAGAATACACACCAACCTTTTTCTGCATAATGCTTCCTCCGTAGCGAGGGTCCGATGAAAGCAACTGATGGCCCTCCAAAATCGAATGGAGAGCGGCCACAGACGTTCCATGAGATTGTCTGCTCCAGCCTGAGAACGGGTCTTGGACCTCCCCAAGCTTCCCCTCCGCTACATTGAAGGGCGAAGTGAGCTGTACGCAGTGATTGATGCCTGCCCTGTGGGTCTTAGTCGACACTTTTGCCCAATTCAGGCGATCGGCAACGGTGCCCTCTGGGTCTTCACGCGACCGATCGGCCTTAATCAAAAAGAAACGTGCCCAATCGGGAACCACATAATTAGGTTCCAAGACCGGGGTCTTCGCGGACGTGCGCAGCATCTGGAAACCGAACCACGCCTCTCCAGTGGCGTGAACTTGAATCATGCCGAACTCTTTGCTGCGGGCCGGGTTTCCCCCTTTGGCCACGAGTGCAACACGGCCCGCCCCCCCTGGGCAAGCACTACCAGGCATAATGGGTCTGTAGAGCTCCACCGCTCGCTACAATGAACGGTCGGGGGAAATTATAAAGAATTGGGTCCGTGTCCAGCGCACTACTATGGGGCAACTTCTTAACTTTCTGATATAGCTGATGCACCGGCCAACCTTGCTCCCAATCAGCAGGGACATCAGGATTGCCGCCTGGTTTAACGCGCTGTGGGAATCTGCATGTATTGCTGAGTTTGGTTCCTTTGCCAACAGGGCATTTCAAGCGGAGAGCTTCCTCCGCCGCTTCTCCAGGCGTCTTAGCATCCTGTACGCCCTTCGCAGGAGCAAGAGCGGGACCGCGGGACGGCTGGGCCGCCCGCGCCACAGTAACGTCACCCGAGGCGGCTGGGCCGCTGGGCACAGCAACAGATGCTGCCTCCTTCAACTCCTCCATGGCCGGGCGCATATGTTGATCATTCTGCACTCCCTCATCTGGCAATCGAAGGCGTTTCCCCTTCGGGGGCATTCCCGGACAAAAGGGCCGACCTCTCGGCAAGAAATAATGGTTATGTTGCCAAGGGAAAAAGTCTGCGCGTGCATTTCCTCGCTTAAGAAACTCAATGAACGCAACGGAGCAATTGGAATGAATGGCTTCGTCCCCTGACCCGTCTTGGACGGCAGGGGTTCGAACGGGGTTCAAAGCTGTTCGAAAAGGACGAGTGTTGAACACAGACTTGGGCACATTGTTCTCCGTGGGGCCCCAGTCTTGCCAGTACATGACTAGCTCTTTTCTTCGTCGATGGATTGCCCCCCTGAACGGCTGGGCCGCCGGAGGGTTGGCAAAATAATAGCACGGCGAGTCTAGATGCCTTAAACATTGGCTCAGCGCACATCTCGGCCGCCTTACCTTTCACCATCTGTCCGCCCTTGTCCACCTTATAGTCATTATGTTCCGACTGAAAGTGGTAAAAATCTCCTTGTGGGTGCTGCAGTTTGCGATGGAGGCAAGCACCGTCAAGAATCATGATGCGCGGGAATGTTCCCACAGCTTTGTAGTCTTCAATCCGACGGTTCATTCGAGCCCGGACAATGGTGGCAACATCGTCCCACATACGGCTAACGCAGCCTCCGGCTGACCTCCAGCACCTGTGGCCCCCGCCAACGTACATGATCTCAATCGCCCCATCGGCCGAGCGAGAGACCGCCTCGTCTACGAGGCGCTCAGATGCCTCCACCATTACTCGAAGAGTTCCAGCGAATAGTGTTGGATTTTCCTGTCGCTTCCCCTCCGCGCCAACTCCAATCAAATCGCCGGCCCCATCAACAATGCCGTGAAAGTTCCAAAATATAAAACGCACCGGCGTATGAATCCCTTTCTGATAATACTGGTGCTCTGACCATTTGTGCTTCTGTGCCGCTTCCCGAAGATCGGGAGCCATGCGGCCACTCATGATCTGAAAGGAAATGCCATGAACGTGATCTTGCAGAAAGAATTGAGGGAAATGGGTATTCGTGGCTTTCCCGGACGGATTCCGAAACGCGATCGTGGAATCAGAGACAATATGGATGGAACAAGACCAAAACTTGCATTGCTGATGATCCATCAGGCACAACGGGTGGAAGAAGTCCTTAACAGATTTGCCTGTGGCCATCATGGCCGCAACGTCCTCGCCAGCAAAAGGAATCCATGAGTGTCCATTCTTGCGGGCAATCTCAGTTATAGCCCGGCACTTCTCAAGGAACGACAATTTGCATGCCCAGGCCTTCAACCGGGGGTCTGTAATATCAACATAAAGCTGAAGCATCTCGGACACTCGAGAGCCCCATTCCTGCATTGGCGGCTTGGGGTCCGCAGCAAACTCCCCCTTCAACCAATGGTAGTCGAGGACGTTCCAGGGCCCCCGCCCAAGATAGGGCGGGTCATCTCCCTCGTCACCCACTGCCGTCGACCCCGCATCTGGGGGCCCACCTCCGCCGCCGCCCCCAGGGGGGTCACCGGAATGAGGAGGGTTCCCAGTGGGAGAGCCGCCTGGGCCGGACGGGGCACCTCCACCACCGGCTGGGCCGGGAGGAGAGCCGCCGCCCGCCCCGCCATCGGCTTGGCCGGGCGGGGCAGCCGGCTTCGAGGGTGATCCGGCGGATGATCCGCCGGCCGCCTGCCGACCAGCCCCAGGGCTGCCCAAAGGCTGATGTGGGTCAGACCTAGCCGAAGGATGCATCATGGCGACGTTCGCTCGGTAGCTCGCCGAACCGACTGGGTCGGTCGACGTCTCCGCTCCCAAGCGTGGCCTTTTCGGCGCCTTGTCGGGGCCCTCCTCTTTGTAGTTAGGAGGGCCCTCAGAGGGCGCCTCAGGGCGCTGCTGGTCAGGACCCTCGGGCAAAGATGGCCTCTCTCCAGCAACGACTGGGTCGTGCTGGTCAGCCTCAGCTTCTGCGTCTGGCGGGGGGTGTGGCTTTTCAGTCGCACCAGCACCGTCTTCAAGGCCATCACTCGCGAGCCATTCCTCCAAGTCGCATGGGCGCGTCCACCAAGATGCTGCCTTACGCCGGGCCACAGCCTGCTGAGGGGAAGACTCAAAATAATTGGCTCTGGCTGAATC